AGCAGATTGTAGCATCGTAGAATTGTAGAGTTGTTAGCAGCGTAGAGTTAGCAAATGGTAGCAGATTGTAACAAAGAGTAAAGACGAAGCAATAGCGTATCGAATGCAGTTACCTGCATCCTCCACCATTGTAGTTCGAATAGGGTTGTTGATCTCCGCTCCGGCATCGTAGCGTAGAATTGTAGCATCGTAGAATTGTAGAGTTGTTAGCAAAAAGAGTAAAGACGATGTAGTCGCAGAATTTGTTCTTGAAGACTGACTTTATTAGTAAACACAATACAAAATATATACATACGGCAACCTAGGTGACCGTGCCTAGGTCCCGTCATCTCTGTTTTCATCCATTACATCTCCACTACATCGTCTCTCGTCTCTTCCTCTGGGTAATAACTAACTTATGATCTTTCGTCCGGGCCTATTTATACGTTTCTGAATACCGCCCGGCGACATTTTCAATCCGACCGGTTTTTCGTCATTATCGGCCGGACCTTGGCTCGCAGGTGTGGCGCGTCGCGTCACCCATCCCTGGCGCAAGGCGATACGGGAGGTGCGCCCGTCCATTGTTGTCGCGTGGTATGTGCGTAGCGTCTTATGCGCTAGGTGTGACGTGCCAAGCGTCTCATCCTGTCGCCACCGTTTGCTGAATACAATAATTGGCGCTTACTGTCTGACACCTGCAATAGATAAAGCCGGTTAGAAATTACTGGCTGAATGCAGCTTTCAACCCTTCAGCTGTCAGTGACTGTGCATTAATTAATTAATAATTAGTGTATTTATAACATTTGTTGAGACCAAATTTCGTATATTTCTACCGTTTGTTGTAATAGCGTCACCCAATGACCTTAATTGCTAGCGTGCATAGGATTGACCATAGTTCGTGTTTTAGTGCTATTGGTCAATAATAATTATTCACTTGAGAGTATCACGTGATAAGGAATACCTGATAATACGTTTTACGAGACTATATGCGGACACGAGTAACAAAAGTGGGCTATGTGGTGTACGTATAGTACAGCCAGGTTTATAAAGCCGCACGATCTGATGGCAGTTCATTGATTGGAGACGGAGCGAAATTGTTTCGGTAGCAATTAGTTTATAATGGAAGTGTCGCGCATCAGTAGTTGTATTTTATCGTATGTTGTAAGTATAGAGTATCATAATTAAATTCTATCAGGGACGAGGGTTTGTGACAGGGTACAGTCTATACACCAGTCTTAAATATTATTAATGACCTGGGGTCATCGCACGAAAACGAGGCTAAGCTAGGCAATTTTGTAAACAATGGCTGCTCAGGCAGGCACGCACAGATGCGCCGGGTACACGCACGTACACGCGGCGTACACACGCACGTACACGCACGAAATACACGCCACGCTACACGCGGGTACACGGAGCATACACGCACGTACACGCGCGCCGTACACGCAGGTACACGCACGTACACGGCAGATCACGCACGCTACCACGCGGATTACACCGCCACGTCACACGCAGGTTACACGAACAGCATACACGCACAGTACACGCGGATACACGCCACGGACACGCAGATACACGACACGTACCCGCGTGTACCAGGCGTGCAGTGTACGTGCGTGTTTACGTGCGACTGTACCCGCGTGTACCGTGCGTGTATTCTCCGACGTGAGAGTGTATGCTGCGCTTGTTACCCGCGTGCTACGCTGCGCTGTAACTGTGCGTGCTACGCAGGCACGTGCGACACCCCCCTGTACCCGCAGTGTACGTGACGTGTACCCGCGTGTACTGCCGTGTATCTGCCGTGGTACGTGCGTGTGCCCGCGTGTACGTGCGTGTACGTGCGGATACCGCGTGTCAGCCGTGACGTGTATCTCCGCTGGTACCGCGCGGCACCCGTGCCGTAGTACCGTGCGTGTACCGCGCTGCACGTGCGTGCTATACCGCGTGTACGTGCGTGTATCTGCGTGTTACGTGCGTGCGTACCCGCGCACGTACATGCGGTGTACACCGCGGTGCTCACGTGCGGTGTACCGCTGCGTGTACCCTCGTGCACGTGAGCCTGTACCCAGTGTGTACGTCGCGTGTACCCGCGTGGTACGTGGCGTGTACCGCGTGTACACAAATAAACCCCCTCCTGCGTGTACCCGCGTGTTGTACGTGCGTGTATTGGCGTCGCCTGTACGTGCGGGCTGTACCCGCGTGTAACATGCGTGGACCCGCGCTGTACGTGGCGTGACGTGCGTCGTACCCTCGCTGCAAGTTGCGTGTACCCGTGCTGTACGTTGCGTGTACCCGCGTGTACGTGGTCGTACCCGCGTGTACGGCGTGGATCTGCGGTACGTACCATGTACCGCCCCCATACCGTGCTTACGGTGCGTGTACCTGCGCTTTACGTGCGTGTACCCGCCCGGGCACGTGCGTTACCTGCGTGTACGTGCCGCTGTACCACGGTGTACAGTGCGTGTATTCTGCGTGTACGTGGCGTGTACCGCGCTGCACCCGCTGCGTGTACCGCGATCGCTACGTGCGTGTAATCTGCGGTGTACGTGCGTCGTACCCGCGTTACGCTGCGTGTACCTGCGTGTAACCGCGTGTACGTGCGTTACGTGCGTGCTACCCGCGCTGCACGTGCGTGTACGTGCGTGTACGTAGCGTGCTCATCTGCGCGTACGTGCCCGTGTACCGCCCATGCACGTGCGTGCTACCGCCGCGTGTACGTAACGTGTACCGCCGTGGGTACGTGCGTGTATCTGCGTGTACGTACGCTGCTACCCGCGTGTACTGCGTGTACTGGTGCGTGTTATGTTTGGGCGTGTATAACCCGCGTGCCACGTGCCTGTAGACCGCGTGTACGTGCGCCGTGTACCGCCGATGTACGGGGCGTGTATCTGCGCGGGGTACGTGCGCTGCTTACCTAGCGAGCTGGTACGTGCGTGCAGGCGGATCGTACCCGCGTGTACCGTTGCGTGTACGCGTGTAACATGGCCAACCCTCGCGTGTACCGTGCGTGTGCACCGCGTGTACGTGCGTGTACGTGCGCACCCGTACCGCGATGCCCAAGTAGCGTGTACCCGCCGCTGTACGTGCGTGTACCCGCGTGTTACGTGCCGTGTATCTGCGATGTACGTACATTACCGCGTGTACGTGCGTGTACGCTGCGTTGTACGTGACGGCTCACCCGCGTACCACAGTTGCGTTTATCTGCGTGTACGTGGCGTGTACCCGCGTTTACGTGCGATTCCTGCGTGTACGTGCGTGTACCCGCGTGCACGTGCGTGTACCCGGGTGTACGTGCGTGTATCTCGTGCTACGTACGTGTACCCGCGTGTACGTCGCGTGTTACCTGCGTATATGTGCGTGACTACCACGCGTCGCACCGGGCGTGTACCGCGTGACTACTGTGCGTAGACCGCGGTACGGTTGCGTGCTATACTGCGTAGTACGCTGCGGTGTACCTGAGTGTTACGTGCGTGTACCCGCGTGTGACGTGCCGTGTATCTCCGTGTACCCGATTACCAGGCGCAGCAAGATCCATTATGAAATAGGGGGGACACAGTAGCGAGCACGCGAAGGGGGGGCGCGTATGGGGGCCCCCCCCACGAAACAATTTCTGGAAAGGAGACCCCCCAGATGCGTTTCTGCGCGAGCCAGGGGGAGGGGCGAGATCCGGTCCCTGGACCCCCCCCTCCCTGTACACGCCCCTGCAGCGCACACACACACACACACACACACACACACACACACATACACACACAGTGACACACACACACACACCACGCATGCACACACGCACACACGTCTCTCACATCTCTTTCTCTCTCACATCTCTCTCACATACACATCTCACATACACATCTCACATACACATCTCACACACACATCTCACACACATCTTTCATATCTCTCTATCTCTCATTACAGTTTGGCATCTCTGGATTCAAGACATTCAGCGCAAACTCTCCGCTCTTCCAACCGGCGCCGAGCAGCGACAAGGACGCGTCGGCGGCCGCGGCGGCGGGGCCCGGCGGGGGCGAGTCGTGCGTCGACGTTCCCGCGAAGAAGAGCGAGATCAAATCTGCTCTGCTCGCCACCTACATCCCGTCGGTGCTAGCCAATCAGACGGCGGTGGCGGCGCGGCAGAAGACGGACGACGACGGCGGCGGAGTGAACGATGGCGGAAAGGATGGGGAGGAAGATGCCGTTGCTGATGCTGCGAAGGAGGAGGAGGGAGGAGGCGAGGACGTGAAGCCAAAGAAGAAGGAGAAGGAGGGGGAGGATGCAGCGGCGGCAGCGGAGGAGGATGAGGAGGGGGAGGAGCATTCGGCGTCGGAGAACGCGTCCGCGTCGGAGTCCGACAGCGGCAGGTGAGCGATGGCGCCCTCTATGGGCAAGTGCGGCAACGGGTCAGCGGGTGGCGGCGCCCCCTACACGCGAGCGTGGGGAGAGGTCGGCGGGCCACGGCGCGTTGTACGGAGGAACGCGAGCGAGCAACCGTCGTTTGGAACGTTCTCGAATTTGTCGCCACATTGTGAGATGTCGTTTACGGTCTGGGACTGCGTGGGTGCGTGCGTGCGTGCCTGTGTAAGGCGTGTGTGCGTGTGCGCATGCATCGTTTGCGTACGTAAATTCGAACGTATGAATAGAGGCGATATTAAAAATGCACGACGGTAAAACGTTGGAACGCTGAATTCGTCGCGCGCGCATGCACGCGTTCGAACGTAGAAATAGCATCGACATTAAATATGCACAGTTTGTGTGCGTGCGAGAGTCTGAAGTCATCGTACGTCCGTTGCAGCAAAAGCAAGTCCGGATCGGAGAGCGATTCTAGATCGGAATCTGGATCGGAATCCGGGTCCGGTAGCCATAGCGACAGCAGCGGACTGCCCAAGAAGCGCCGGCCGAGCAAGAGGTACGTGTCTACTAGAGATGAACCCCTCTCCCTACCTAATGTATAAGTTGACCTCCTCTCCCAATCTAATGTATAAGCTGGCCCACTCTTCCTATCTAATGTAGAAGTTGACCCCCTCACCCTATCTAATGTATAAGCTGACCCCCCAACCCCTATCTAATGTAGAAGCTGACCCACCCTCCCTATCTAATGTATAAGCTGACCCCCCAGCCCCTATCAGCCCTCGACACTTAACGGTTGTCCGATTGCCCGGGACAAGTGAAAGTCTATGTCGGACAAGTTATTCTCTTGCCTAGTTGCCCGATCGGACAACTGAAAAGTTCGAGTTGTTTAATATTCTTAACATCCTTTGACCCAGGGCGCTATCCCACCACATTCTCACTTCAAACGTTTTCAAAGGTCCCTGAAAAAAGCAGCCCGCGACACCCACTGTTACCGTTACAGATTTATTCACAGGGATGAGATTCTTGCGCGGATCCGCGGAAATCCGCGGATTTGACAGTCCCAGGGGTCGATTTTGTGAAACGTCTAAATTCGTTGAGAAAATTGGGAGGGGGGTAACAATTTAAATTATATACCATGTGTATGTGCGTGCGTGCATGGCTTGTGTGTGTGTATATGGGTCGTCCATTGGGTACCACCACGTATGCACCCGGATATCACCGATTTTCGAAACTAGATGGCGCTTGCTACCGACGAGGACATTCATGGCCGATTTAGCTCGGTGCGTTTGATTCGTCTTAGGCGGCTCGCAGAATAACGTAATAATCTAGCGTCTCTATAGAACATAGTACTTTACAGAGTGAAAAATTACGTCTTTCTAGTTTCAAGACCATGGAAAGAAGACAAAATTTGATTATCGTGCGATTTATCTGTGATTTTACGTGATTGAAGACATTTCCTTGTATTTTGTGAAAAATCAAAATGGCCGTTCCGTGAAAATTCCGAATGTAATTGTGAGAAAACATTATTTTCTACATCTATATTAGCTGTTTTTATACTCTGTGATCACATAAATATTTTCAGCTTGCTTTCCAGTTGTGGCTGTTTGCATTAAAACTGTCGTAAATTTGAATGCACCTGCAGTGGAATGTTGAAATAGAGCAACACGTACCAAATGCAAGTGGAAACATTAGAATGAGCCAGGTAAGTTAAAATCCCTCTCATAATTACAATCACCAGTCGAAATTGACGTCTTTTGCCGTGTTTCCTCTGTTTTACCTGTATACTGTCCAGTTTGATATACTAATATCAGCCAGTATGTTTGGCTGAAGAAACTGATGATTTGGCATTCACTCTCGATTGGAACCTCTGCTTACCTTGTTAAATCACAATTCTTTCGTAAATTCCAGTAAATATTGTTTATCTTTAAAACAACTGGTGTTTCTTAGTTCTTTAGCGTATGCCACACCTTAATTTTTTAAGGTGTGGCAACTATAGTGGGAAGATAAATGAAACTTTTGACTATTATGTTTCTGAATTGACGGTAGCTTAGGACACATCTTGAACTTCGCCATCTGTTTTTTCTTGAAAAATAACGTTGAACATTGCTGTATTTCTCAAAATTACATTGTCCTTGCAAAGCCTTTCAAATGACCTCAAAATCTTGAAAATCCATTGGGTACCCATTTTTGGAATCAGCCATTCTTTAAATCCATGAAACGTAGTCCAGTACTGTGTATTCCATTACCTATTGTTATAGCAATCAAAATTGTCCATGTTTTACACCAAATTGTGTGTGTTTTGCGCAACATGTGGTTCCAAAATCCCAAATTGCAATTGGAGGTTGTCATGCCAGTAAAATTGGAAAATGACCACTATTACGGTGACAGTATGCAGAAATTCACGTGTTATTAATTTTCATTCCCAATCAGCGATAATTTGACTAGTAGTTCGTTGTCGAAAATGCAACTTGCTGAGCCACGCCCAGATTTGGCATCCATTTTGTGTAGCATGTTTAATGAGTGCTTTTGAACATGAGCTTTATACTGCTCAATCAGGTAGCACAGGATATTGTCACCTGTAACAAATAGTGAATTTTTATGCTTTATATGATTGAGAACATTCCTCAAAATTTTTATGTGTGTTGCTCATACACATACTTATCAAATCGGGGTGTAACCGTAAGATTTTGGGAGGGACCCATTTTTGTTATTTGCTGTTCTTTGCACACCAGTTTGTAATTTGAATGTGTATTCTGTCGACGTGGTCATGCCCAGACGTTTTCCCTGCGATGTTCGTGGCGATTTATGAACGCGATTATGTTTGGTTCGTACATCATACTGCAAGTTGGTAATATGTTAGCACCGTTTACCTGTTCGTTACGAACGTCAGTAGTATTATTATTCTCATTAACAGGTATCAGCCGGGCTAGAGGTGCTATATTTGACATTATAGTGACAATTGTCTCGTCGGTAATTTTTGTAAATGTGCCTAGACAGAGGGTACAGATGAGTTGTGCAACAAAACTAAGCGTTCAGAGGTGAATCGTAACTTGCTGCAGCAAATTTAGCAGAATGTGCTGATTTTGTACGTGTAAGGATTGCAATCGAAATAATTGATTTAATTATTTTGCTGGAATTTAATCGCTAGTGGTCGTGCTGGGTGTCAAGTCTTGTGTGATTGTGGAGTGCTTTACTATGTGTTGTTAATACACGCTTTTCACAGAGCAATACTACACGTAAAGTTTGTCTAATTTGTCAACAGGTGTAATTGTTGAAAAAATACAATGGTAGGAGATTTGTCACAGGATCCTTGGTAATACAATGCCTTCGTCATTACATCAACTGGTGTCTATGGCTCCCATGCTATGTCATGGCTATGTATCATGCATATTAAATGGGATCATTACATCAGTAACGAGGAGGTCCTTAACAGAGCGGGTGTTGAAGACATCGAGTTGAAGCTAGTTAGAAGTCGTCTGCGTTGGCTTGGCCACATCTGTAGAATGGATAATGACAGACCAGCAAAGGAACTCCTATACAGCGAGCTAGCAAATGGATCCCGATCTGTTGGTTGTCCTAAATTGAGATATAAGGATACCTGCAAAGGTGCTCTGAGGTGTGGTAATATTCTTGATCAGTAGAGGAATGTTGTAGACAACAGACAGGAGTGGAGAGGTCTTGTGCATACAACTTGTGAATGCTTCAACATAAAGAGAGTCAAACAGTATGAAAGAATAAGTGAACGAAGACTAAAGAATTTGAACAAAAGATGATCTATGAACTTTATAGCGATAGACATTTGTACTACATTATTATTCTGTGTAATGCCCGTTTCGGGCTCTCACTAGGCGTATATATATGTCTATGGCTCATATTTTACTAGTGCTCACCATGAATACCACATTGCTTACTAGTCGTTTATGGCTTTTAAGGAAGTCCCACTTTTGTTATTTTTTTAATAGTGGTAGGTAATACAGAAAACAATACGTATACAATGCGAAACCCGAATCTTCGCTTCCCAAGCGTGCACTCTGATTTCGTATACGTCGAGATGTATCTCATCGCAAACTATGTGAGAGTATTTGTCTACGCCCGCCATGGGTCTTTAGAGCTGAAGTTAGTTGAAGCAACAGGTGTGTGAAGGAGCAAGATGTCTTTCATACATAGCGTGCGTACGAGTCTAGATTTAACTGCTCGTGCATTTCAACGTCTATTAGATCGGCGCGGCATGCCTTCGTCGCACGTTTCGAGTTCCGAATCGAGACAACCCCTTGGGACTTTTTGTGAATCATGAGAAATCACTCTGTGAAGAGCATTTGCCCCTATTGTGGTCACCCGCCTGCCCGCACTCGGCAACGCAAGAATGGCTCCAAACCGTCGTTGACGATGACGTTATTTTCGATGAGCATTGCACCTGGAATGTCTCTCACGTTCGACGCGTAGATGGAAGGCAGTAGTTAGCGATGGCGAATACCCATTGCGGACGAGCGGATAGTCAACACGGTCCTTGCTAAGGGGATGTTGATGGAAGACGAGTTGTACTCGGTAAGGATCGTGTTCGAACGTATGGAAGCTTCTACGGCTTACCTGTCTATATTGTAGCGAGAAGGCCGTCGGTGGCGGAGTCACAGGGGGGTCGGTCTCACGTCGTTTATTTCGGCTGTTCGACGAAAGGAGTCGATCGCTGCTCGAACGATCGAACCCGTCAGATGGTTCTTGGCGATCGTCCGTCGTCCCGCGTGACGTCACGACCTCGGGACGTTAGAACGATGGCGACGGATTCTGAAGGATCCAAGCTTGAACTCGTAGATGTCCTGCACTCCCCCGATGAAGATTGAAATTCCCGTTCTCCGGACGGTTGGCGTCGAGACGCAGGGATTCGAATCCTTGGAGGCTTCAGTGGAACTGCTTTGGCTATGATTTTTAGATGGAATCTTGCAGCAGGTTTCAGCTCGTGGAACGTTCGCGAGACGAGTCCTTGCATTCCGCATGATGACGTCACACTCCAGAGGTTGTCATTGATGATGTTGTCATTGATGCTAGTGGGTGATGTTACGTTATCATTGATGATAATGAGTGACCTTACATTGTCACTGATGCTAGTGAGTGACCTTAAATTAGCGTTGGTCATCCCCAGGCATCTGTCGAATGTGGGACCGCTCCGGCCTCTGGTCTTTGGATGCCGAAGGTTTTTTGCACTCGGTTTACAGAAGGTTTTTCACTCATCCGTAGGCAGATCCATGCGCAGGATGAGCGAGATTATTGCCACTCAGTTGGCGTGAGGCTGAGATTTTTTTCAGCGACTGGGCGCACTGGGTCGCGGCCTTCATTTTTTGGTGGGGGGGAGTGGGCCACCAATATATAAGCTTTTCTTTGTATTGTATAGCTGTTCTACGGCATTGTTTTTTAATTAAATTCTATTTTTTTATCAAGGCATGATTTTCAGTGGCGGGGGCAGCCTGGGGGGGGGGCACAGAAATGATTTTCTGGGGGGTCCACTGTGCGCCCCGCCAGCCTAGATTGCACTTGCGCGTCACGTTCCATCTCTTGGCCGAT